ACACACAGGGCATGCATGCATAAGACTAAGAACACGTGTGCCTATGTGAAAAACTGATTTCCTCCTGTAAAACACCCTCCTTTTATTCTGACACTGTCAGCAAGCACACACCCAGACTCATGATGAAATGCAGGCCTTGTGCACACACAGGCACAGAGACATGAGTATAGTTACACACCTCTTATCTGCACGCAGTGGTAAAACAAAAGTTGTGCAACTATCCCGGCTGACTAATTGCCTTTGAGAATAACAGGAGGGGCCCAGACATTAGGTTCACATTACATCTGCATCATCTATCGGCCAAGAGAGATCAGGCTGAGCTGAAAGCGTTCAGTCGTAAACCTCTGTGACAGTAACAGCACCACTGAATGATTAAAGCCATGATATTTCAAAGTCTGGTCATACGGTCAGAATCGATTAATAGCTGCTGTCTGGGCCCAAGAAAACCCAGCCGAGGGAAATGGGGGGATTTCGTCATCATGTGCATCAAAACAGACTGAGCAAGAGCAAAAAGTGAATTTACTGAGCAGGAATGAAGGGAGTGTTTCGAGATTTGCCCAAGCTGAAGGCATGGGTGTTGGCTTTCTGAACCCTCACCTCAGTTTTTTTAAGACAGCTGTTTTATTTTAAACTTTATCTCAACCACATTCAAGAAAATAGAGAGGCAGTGTAAGAAAACCCAGCTAAGGCTTTAGTTTATTGTTCACTTTGTTTCCTGTCTTTTAAAGTCTCGTGCAAAGTGCAACTCTAGTCCTATCACCAAGGCTGTACTCCGGCCGTGACTTGGGTGTATTGGGCGTCCCTTTAGGCCGTGCTTGGGTGTGAGCAGACAATACTGTCTTTGAGTGAGTCACTGTGGTGCAAAGTCCAACAGCCGAGCTTTTTGCTTTTTCTAACAGCACACCTCAGCAAAATATGAAAAAAATGTTCAAACCAGCCTGACATGAAACTCCCGTTTGCGCAGCTCAAAGAGTGAGTGGTCTCTGAAGCCATGTGGAAAGGAGAGCTGTCTCTTTAAACATGCCAAATATAATTCACTGCTACGACAAACTGCAATATCACAGCACAGGGGCAATGTGAAACTGAGACTGAACGACGTGAAGCCACATCCATGTTGGATTTCTTCACAGAATCAAAACATGAACACATTTATAAACTCATTCACACATTTTCAAACAGAAAAATAGATTATGATCGATGTAAATTATTTTATTTGTATCTATGTTGTGCTTTTTTCTACTACTTGTGTTGCTGATATCTACTTTGTGATTTTTTAAAAATAAATGTATTTTATTCGACCTTTTACTAAATGTTCAAAATCAAATGAACTTAACTACACTAAATAAATAGCTAAGGATATTATAAAACACTATTAAAATACACACTAATATATGTTGTGCTTGTAAAATTATGGTAGTCATAATACAGAACTATTGATGAAACCTTCATGTGTATTCAGCTGAAGTTGCACGTGACATGTACATTTTCACACTGCAGGGTTTTTTTTTAACTATGAGGCAGCGGAGGGGGAGACAAGTAGCAAATATAAAACCTGAGGGGGAACAGGCAGGTGCAGGCTGTTCTAAAAACAACACAGAAGTCACTTTTTGCACTGATGATTTGTGTCAGTTAGTCCACAGTGGCAGCAGCAGCAGTGGAGGCTCAAAAAGGGAATTCACTTTAAAACCCTCACTAAGCAACAAAGCTGCAGTTTGTATCAAAAGATCACACTCCTCTGAGTCATATCCTATCCGAACACATGGACTGGAATATATATACCTTTTTACATTCAGGGTGTCTCACACTTTCAGGGGACATCATCGTCCCCAACAATACAGGTTTGAAAGTTTTATAACACCAGTTTTAACTTTTTTAGAAAGGTAAACATGGAGTCTTATCCCTTAAATATTTTACTCATTCAGCAGCCAACAGCACTGGTGTTCTTACCGAAAGGAAAACAGAAAGTTTGTCCCAACCTTGTTCCAGACGTTTCCATGAATCAATGTGCTCTTGTTGCTGGTTCATGGGGTTTAAAGTATCACTATGCAACTTTTGATGGTACACTGACTTAGATTAGAGGGGGATCTATGTAGTGATCTATGTGATCTAGAGATCTATTACAGTACACCCCTACCTCATGCCTTATCTCACCCTTCTGGTGGCAATACATGGTACTATGCTGCAGTGTAGTATTGTCCTGATAATGCATCAGAGGGTCTGAAATTTGAATACAAACTTTCTTTAAAAAGAACAGAAATAGAAATGGGGGGCCTTTAAAAAAATATTGACTTCAGTAATTTTACATAAATATTCATAACAACCCTGAGAATTCATGAAAAAGTTATACACTTATTCTTACTTACTATTACTATGTTTACTCTGTAACCAGCCTGAGAGTCATGGGTTCAAGTTGCAGCCACTGTTCACACACCAGAGTCGTTCTTCCTGTTTGCAAGCCCCATAGCATTATGGGAACAGTAGTTTCTCGCACTAACTCCATGGTTTTTATGTTCCTAGAATATTGATATGGATTTGCCTTGCTTTACAAACTTAACATATAAAAGGTAAAATAGGTTTATAATCCCAGGGGTTTCAGTTTTGTCTGAGGGGGGTTCACAGAGTCATACCGTGAATAAACTCAGCAGATCAATCTGATGAGCCACAGTGCTCACACTCATGGAATGAAGTCACACGAGTCTGCATTTTCTTCTTTTCTCTCCCCTCAGCTCTCAGCTACAAAATGTCCAACCAGGCACGAACAGCGCAAACACGGCTCTACAGTGTGTGTGTGTGTATTTAAAGTGTTACATATTCTAATGCAAATGGTCGAGCTTCCACTTGTGTTCACACAGACGTTTCCACCAAACCCACAACCTGGCACATTCCCAAACTGAGACACACCTTTGGCAATGTTAAATGCCAACAGAGCCAGCTTGTAGAACAAGCTGGTGCACCAACAAGTGATGTCTTGTTGAAAATCCACCGAGCACCATGAACCTGCATCCCCTGTGTGACCTGTGGTGGAGGTGACTTTTGCTCACAGGGGTTCAGCCTGTGTGATGGGGACCAGTGATCACGATGAGCTGTATTAGTGTAATGAAAGTGAATGAGGAAATACTAGACGTTGTCATCAACATGTTTGTGTGCCGGTGTATGAACATGAGTACGTATATGTAACTGACACCTGTGCTGAACTGCAGCTCATCTCTATGTTTAGACTCATGTCACACTACAGCCGCTGCAGTCTCCACCATGGTGGTTCAGATGTCTACGCACCGTCACCACCTCACACGCTGCTTCACCTGCAGCCGGCGGCTACACCGGCTAGTCAGGGAATCTATGAATCATGAGCAACTATCAGGGCGGGATCAGATTTATGGTTGTCAGCTTCTAAACACAAATGAAGGTAATGGTTTATGAATTTAATCTAATCTGAATTCTTTTGGATTACTTTAAACTAAGGGGGCCATGCTTTTGACATCGGGACGCTCAGCTTTAGAGTGACCACCATGAGGAGAAGAGGCGAGGAGATTCACTGACTTCAGTCACCTCTTTAAAGCTCATTTTACAGACTCTTATGTAAAGTTGCCTTTTTATCTTCTCATGTCGAATGATTTATTGATTTTATTTCTATTTGTATTGATTTGCTCTTATGCAATGTTTTCTTCTTGTTGTTATTGTTCTTATTGATTGTATTTGTTATTGCTGCTTTTACGTGATGCTGTCACCAATAGTTTTATTTACCAGTAGTCTTTATCAGTTTTATTATTATTATTACTATTACTAGTAGTAGTAGTAGTAGTAGTGGTAGTATTTATTAGCTAAAATCATCCCACATTTTATTCCTAACTATGAAGGAGTCATAGCTTTCCCATTTTTTACAGATTTTAAGTTCAGTAGGGTTTCTTGCAGATACTGATATTTCAGGTTTGAACAAATTGTCCTGCACATAGACGGTATTGTGCTGCACACAATAGATGTTGAAGTGATTTTATCAGGAATTGAGGCTGTTTTGGGAGAAACTGCTGCTGCTTGAACCTTCTATCTTTCCCCCACCACGAAGTGGAGCTCTTATGAGACTCTGTCACATACACTAATTATTAGATACCATTGTTATTTATAATCGAGAAAGGATGAGTAGTATATGATTTTAGATTTCAGACTAAATCATGTAATCCTCTACAATGTAATGTAATCCTCTACAATGTAATGTAATCCTCTACAATGTAATGTTATCCTCTACAATATAACTATTATCGAATTAGGGAAAACATTTCTGGGCTTATTTTAATTACTTACTTTGTAAACCCTGACCACTTTACAGTTTGCAGAATTAAACTGTAAATTTTAAAATCATTACAGGTCAGGAAAGATTTTATTGTCGCGGTGAAATACTGAATGTAATCTCAGTACAATGACATAAATTTACAATGAAGAAAGAAATTGTTCTCTAAGAAAAGTGAGGAAGTAAACAAGTAGCTCTTAGGATTCAGAAAAGGGTCACTGAGAGGCAAAGTAAACGCACATTTTCCATGCGCTCAGTGAACCCCATGGCAAGGGTACAGACTTTTGATGCCTCCTCACCAGCGAACGCAAACAACTTTCCCAGGCTGCAGCTTTACAGCCGAACAGCTCTTATCTGAGGAAACAGCGTTCCTGCAGTACCACACTCACCAGAGGGAGACAAACACCAACTCTCATTTTCCTTCCTGTCTGTAAAGGCATATAACCTGAGAACAATATGCACAAATCAACCCCGACACAGGTACAACATGTTACACATTCCTCAGCTGTGGCTGCATTGTAAAGCCCCAATCATTATACCACACAATACAATCTGTAAAGACTTTTCATACACATGTAAAAAGTATATTTTATACAGTTTAGAGATTCAAAGCAGTGAACACAGTGAACTGGAGAACATTTTTTAAATCAGTCTGACAAAGATTTGTCCTCTGGGAGTTCGTCTGTGAGAGAAATGTAGAAGGTGGAGGCTGTACCTTGCCATAGCAGCGACCCACCAGGGTTGAAGACCTGTTACCATGTTGGACATCAAGTGGGGTGGCAGCTGCTCCTGCCTGCTCTCGCTATGTGCACACAAACACACAAACACACACACACACACCAACCAGCATGTTATTGTAAAAGCCAAAGCTTCCAACAAGTGTTTTTTGGCATTAACTTCGATGGAAGGGATGGAACAGGATGCTGTGATTACAACCTATTGTGTTGGTGGATTACTCCTTTAACATCTGACGAAAAAGGTTTCATGTACAAGTCTTGCTTTTTTACATTTTCGAAAAAAAGTCTAATATCACAAATTGAAGCAAATATAAATGCAGGTTAGTATTTTAGACATTATTATCAGAAGTGTAATAAACAATAACTATAGGTTTTGGACAGATATAACTTATTAGTACAAGTTACTCTTTTTGGACTAGCAATGCTGCTCTATTTGTGCCATAATGCAACTGATTTTAATGTTTCAACATGTTTAATTTTGTCTGATTTCATTCAAAACAAGTTGAAACCGTCACATAACACTGCAGTGTGTGTTTTATACATCTGATCCTCAGGTTGAATCTAATTCAAACCTGAGTGTGTGTAAAGCTTATCTCAACTCAAACACGCACACACCCTTGTGCTCACTGCAAATACTTATGTGATAGAATGTGGGCAAAGCCCAGCTAGCATTAACTTACTATCAAATCAAAGGTTATCATTACGCAACCTATGCCAAGATCAGAGTGCAGGTTTTAACACAGCAATGGCACACATGCAAGCGTCTCTATAGTTTTGAGTTATTAAAAGTTTATCGCCAGAGGGTGAAAACAAGAGAAAAGAGAAGGAGGAGGGGAAAAAGAGGTAGGCTACTTACAAGGCTCATCCAGTACGCTGCATACGCCATGAGTGACCAGGAGCAGAGTGAACACAAGAGAAGGAAAGTTTCCACCCGGCCGTGCCACTCTCTCCAGACCAAACCACAAGATGTGCGCTGTCAAACCTCCCCAAAACACTGACACAGTGATTGCCACTCCCCACTGCTCTCTGCAGGTGATTACCACAGATAGGACGGTGGCTGAGCTGCACACTTCCTCTGACTCAGTGAGCTTACAGTCGATTCACTCTTATCCAGAAAAGACCACTGGAGTTGAGCCAAACATTCCTCAAGAGGGGAACTTTAATGTGAGAGCTACCACCCCCAACAAGAGAGAGAGAGAGAGAGAGAGAGTTCCTGAGGAGTAACTTGAGGGACTACTATGATTGTCCCCAGCTCAACTGTTGAGTAGGTTTGGCCAAAATACTGTATGCTGCTGCTGTGGTACAACAATTGGTATAAAAACTACACACACACACACACACACACACACACACACACACACACACCACTATATCTATTCAGCCACTGTTAACCACCGATTATTGATCCTGAATTAGCCTTCAAACCATTTTGGATCAATGCATTCGGCCTCTGCAGCATCCTGTGCACAGCCCACACACCAGATCGACCACAGCCCTGTGACTGGATTCAAGCTGGGGGTTGTTTTGACGTCAGGAAAGTGATTTTAAAAACTTTATTTTGTAGTTTGAATTAGTGTGACACTGTAACAAAAATGCAACCAGCCTCGTGTGTCCGGGTCGTGGCTGATCGGTGGAGCATGAAAAGCAAATGTTTCCTCTCGCCCCACTTGTACGTGTGTGTGTTTCTGGAGCTTTTGGCAGCATCAAAACATTTCCTGGAAGTGAGCCTGCGATGCAAATAAACGGTCAAAACTCACCTCCTGTGCCCCCTTCTCCCCCTTCTCCTCCTTCTCCTCCTTCGTGTGTTTGTGGTGACCATGTCCTCTCTTCTTATGGGGCATCTTGACACTTTTCCCTGCTGCGTGCTGCGTCCTCGCTCCTCTGCTGCAGAATCAGAAACAGGCTGATGTGAGTCTCTGGAAACAAAACCCTTCGCCCCTCCCGCTGGGGAAACTTTGATGAAGGCTCCAGATGATTGATGGAGGTGCTGGTTGGCTCAGACCGATTGTTTTAATACCAGCTTTGTGCGTTTATGAATGTGTGTGTGACATCCTGCTTTATCAGATCCACGTTGCCATTGTGATGATCATTACAGGCTGATCCAGACTGGTGTCATCACACAACAGGAAAAACTGGTGTGTGGATAAAGTCGTGTATCTGCATCAGTGTAGATTTACAGATATTTCTCTGCTTGAATCAAACACGCAGCACTTGATGAACACGAAGGACTCCTTTACTTTGTCATGAGGGGGACACACCCTCACAGCCCAGTGGCAACCTCAGGGAAGAGTTGACTCACCGCTCATGTTGTTGATCCTTCTTCTTCTCCTCTGTCAGCGGGTTCCTCTGGAAGAAGTACAACGCTGCCCCCCGATGGCCAAAAGATGTCAACAACAAAAAGCCACAGCAGACACATATGGTCTGATGCAACTTTTTAACATAAAATCAAACCAATATTTCTCATCTATCTATCTATCTATCTATCTATCTATCTATCTATCTATCTATCTATCTATCTATCTATATGTCTGTCTATCTATCTATCTATCTATCTATCTATCTATCTATCTATCTATCTATCTATCTATCTATCTATCTATC